AATAACATACAGAACCCGAGACCCAGACAGCTGTAAAAGTCACCCCCGTGGCAGAGTTAAACTCTACTGGTGGATGCTGGCATTTTTCCAGCTATTTAATACGGGGTGTTTCCTTACTGTAGGGTCAAACCGAAGTGACATTTGCCATATACTTTCATCTCACTTTCTGGTCTTCATCTCCGTGTGGACTGGTAAGGTTCATGAGAGCATCCGTGTGATTTCTCTCAGGAAAAAAGCATTTGAACCAGAAAAGAAAGGTCTACCCCTGTCTTAAAATAAATAAATCTTAGGTGCTATAGAGAAAACACGCTCTGACCGTGGGACAGGAAAGCTGTGCGTGCTGGAACTCAATAGTACCCTGTCTGGCTTGAAGAGGCGTTGATGGACAAAAAGGCATCTTATCTGCCCAGATGGAGACAGGTTCAGCTGGAAAGAGTCTTTTACGTCGTGGGGAGAGGAGATCTGTACGACTTTATTACCAAACTCACGTGTATCTGCTCTGTAAATGAATTTACAAAGCGAACCCGTTCGCTTCTCGAGTGTTCGCTGGATGCCTCCAGGGTAAGGCATTGACTGTTGCGTGTACGACGGGAAGGATCGCTTCTTGCCAGATCCCAAGTTAAGTCCACATAAAACTCTTCCTGTGTGGAACTGGCCTTGAGCTTATGGGAGCCCCCCTTAGACGTGCATAAGGTTTTTGTACTGGTCGGTTGAAGAGTGTGAGAGGTGATGGAGCCAAGGTGAGTTTGTTTACGGGAATGAAAATGCAACGGATCTTTTAAAATACCCTCCTCATAAATTTGCTTTTCCCAGTCCAAGGATAACCAAGCAGTACTGCAGTAAGTAACGACTTGCTGTTAGTAATGACACAAACCGTCACTGAGCCGCTGTGCGTCGGGCTTGGGAAGAAAGGGACCAGGGGGTGATGCTGCTGCTCGCTCCGAGTGTCACCAAATGAGCTGTGCTTAAGGGAATGCGTAAACTTCTCCTGGCTGGGGCTGCACGTTGTCTTCCTCAGGCCGTTTGACCAGTAGAGCTCAAAATACTGCTTGTGGAGCTGTGGTGCTGAGTCCTTGTCCCTGTGAGTCTTGTCTCGCACGCGATGCGAAGCCTGGGTAGCTTCTTAGGGTCTTGGTGTCACGGTTTTACTAATCAAATCTCTGGCTCAGTGGAAGTGGAATCATCAGCTGGGTAGTCTCTTACCATTTTTTATAGCGTGACATTTCTACTTGCTTTGATAATGGCAAAAAATAAGAAGCTGAAACCAGTCTTTCATCGTATGTTTAATCCTACACAGCATGCTAGAGTAAGGGAAGGCAGATCAAACTCTAGTAAGAGTAGGAATGAACCCAGATTTTTCCATTTTCTGAGAAATTCCATAATTGTCATGATGCTTTTCATTGTGAATGTTTCTGTAAGAAGGAATTCCAAAAATACACTTAGATTTTGGACAGAAGGGATTATTTTTTTTAAATCAGTGGTCATTTTTTCCTTTTAAAGATTGTGAAACTATTTTATGGCATTATTGAAATCTTCATTTGAGACTTGATTTTTTTTTATCCTTAGGAAATTTGTCACACCCAGCTTTGTAATCGGAGGTCTGAATCCAGGAAGCCACTTGATGTGTGCTTTAACTTCACCTCTCTCCTTACGTCCCAGTGAAATCAATGGGATTTAAGCATGTGCTTCTCCAAATCAGGACCATCAGTAATGAAAGAATAGAAAAGTAATTATTGAATTGGGAAATTGAAGGGTGATCAAAAATTGACTTGAGCAACAGTTAATGGAAATCATTAAGAAGGTGAAGATACAGGTGTTACGTGCCTGAAGCACCAGCAGTCCTTTGCTATAAAACATGGCTGACAACGTGAGACCAACCTGAGTCACTTGTTTCTACTATTTTATTAACTCTTTACGTTAAAAAGCAACCCTTTTGCTGAACCCTTCCAGCACTTCGGAACGTTCAGGAGCCGGGAGCGCGATGTGCGATTTCTGTATTGATACAGTGAGACATTGTGGTGGCGTCGGTGTCGCCTGAGGTCACTGCTGTTCCTGCTCCCCCGGCTGTGCAGCTCTGGAAGTCTGGCTGAGAGGACTTAGATTTCGTATTGATACAGTGAGACATTGTGGTGGTGTTGCTGTCGCCTGAGGTCACTGCTGCTCCTGCTCCCCCGGGTGTGCAGCTCTGGAAGTCTGCCTGAGACGATTTAGATTTCGCTTTCTTGCGATTTGTACTGGAGATCTGAGGGGAAATGCTACGTGTTGTCCAGTTCCTTCCTAGATTGCTGCAGTGATGCCTTCCTGTAAAGTTAATTGCACTCCCTGGAAACTCCCTCAAAACATGGCTGTCTTTTCTTTTGCTTCAAAATTTATCACTCAGGCTTCAAATCTGCAAAAACTATGCTTAACACGACTTTCAGAACAACCTGAACATGTATGCTTTTGTATTTAGTTATGGCAGGCTTAAAACTGTAAGGTATTAGGAAATACATTTAAGGTGTTGGAATAACTTTCTGCTGGATGGAAATTTGTATTGTTGCTCCTGAAACTGTGTTCTGTACTGACCCACCGCATGCACACTCATTCTGAATGTGATTGAAGAATGGGCAGCCCCGTTCCCACAAGAATCCTGCGCTCCCTTTGCATGAGAGCCCCAAATCCCGGGCTGGAGAGCGGGCGTTAGGCTGACTTACCTGGGAACGGCGATAGCGGTTCTGGCCCCCGGCTTGGTGCTGCTTCCGCAGGGATAGCTCAGCTGGTTGCTTAGCAGCTGCCAAACTGCTGCAGGGTTCAGGTACGGGCGCAGTGGTTCGGGGTTACCTCCTTTCTGCGCCGCTGTGCCGGCTCGGCGCTTGCTCCGCGGCGGGTTGTGCGGCGCAGGAGGGACGTCCTGGAGCTGGGGGGGCGAGGAGCACCCCCGCTGCTGCCCCGAGGTAAGCTGTGCCTGCTCCGTAACCCTGCTAGCTCTTTGTAGCATTGTTACTGTGATCGTGTACAGTGGGGTTTCATCGGGAGGAAGGAGGGTGCTGCCCGTGTCGTCTCCACAGCTGATCCTGCACACACTGTCGCATGGATAGTTTGCTGACCCCAGCTATCCCTGTCCTGTAAATTTAACTCTTGCTGTCTTAATTAAGGATAAAGTGAGGCTGTAAATCTACGGTCTGACATTTAAACTTTACATATCGTGGAATGAATGGCGGCTTTATGACCACTTGTTATCTGGGGGGTAGCGTAGGAGGGTGTATTGACACGTCCCGTTAAGTGCAGCGGGCAGAAGCCAGTGGAGGGTGGTGGCCGTTTCTCGGGCTGTTGTTTCTTACCTTGGTGGCTGAACCTGGCTCAGCTGAGGGTCGCGCTGGCAGCTTATCCAGAGAGTGCGAGCCGATAAATTGAAAAAGATGGAGAAATTGGAAAGGCCATTGTTTTTAAAAGATTTGCGCTCCTGATTTTGTTATTCCTCTTTACATGAAAATCACGTAATTTACAGACATTACAAGGGATTTATGTCCTGTGTAGGTGCTCTCTTTGTAGGCTTGCGAGATGTGGGTGGTTTCTTGTGATGTGAAAACAGAGTTTATGGGCACACTCCATGGTCTGGCGTTGTCTTAAATTGGGCAGAAGACAGCCAATATGCTGGATTTTAGGTTGTATATGCATTTACAATGGCCTTTGCAGGCTTTGGATATTCATAGAAAAGCGATGCTTATAATTTTCCTGATAGATGAATGTAGCAGAACTGTGATGGGGAAGTTGGAGCAGGCCATGCCTTTCCGTATCCCAGGTGAAGAGGGCATGAGGTGCACTCCTGGGACCACACTTTACAGCTACCTGTATCCTCTCCCGCACCACGCAGTTCCCTGCTTTCTGCCCTGGTTGCCAGGCATCCCTTTGTCGCTTTCAATCCTTGGCCCTGTCTTTCAGCTTGCCGTGTAACCTGGAGCAATCCGATTCCATCCTCTGACATTATCTTCTGCGTCCCTGCGCTGCTGGCATTGCCGCCCGTGTGGCACGGCTAACGCCTCCTGCCTGCTTTGTTGTTCTTCTCGTCCTTTCCCAGGGGAAACGGCTGCATGGGGAGTGTGGAGCAGGGTCTGTAATGCTGGTAGAGGCGCTTTTCTTCTTCTCAAATATGGCCATGCTGTTGATTTTAGGGAAGACAGACTTAAAAAGCGCTTTGTGCTTGAAATGGAAGGTGGGGAGGCTTTGCGGAGGTGCAGGGTCGGCGTCCACGTCTGTGAAACAGGAGTAGTCTCATTTTAGGGTCTGCATGGGAGTGTTGAGAGCATTAGTGACTCTTCATAAAGTGCTCTGACCTGTAAATTGCTGCGCTATTACAACGGTTTTTATGGATCATAATAGGCCGTGAAGCCTTTAGGAGTAGTAATGAGATATTAAAAGTTTCACAAAGCAAATTATGCCGTGCTGCCACGGTCCCTTCCTTGTCCCCTGCAGCAGTGTGTATCCTGTCAATATTTTAATTAGGGAAATGATATGCACTCAGGAGTACATCTTCAGCTAGTGTTATTCATCATAGATTGTTTTTTTAATTCAGCTGAAGGGTCGCTTGGGGCATGTGACAGAAATTTTGCAAGCCTCGGTTCTGCCTTCAGATCCCTGATTTTATATTCTTCTGTTTATGTCGAATCTAATTTCACCCTGTTTACACAACCCATTTTGTAAAGTACGTTTGTGCAAAGACACCTTGTGTACCAAAATTCCGCAGGATCCTTGTAAGACAGGTGAAAGGTTGAAGCTTTGGGATAGTCTCATCGTGCTGGGCCAACGTTAGGTAACTACAGTGGGAGCACTGACAGCTGGATTGAACGTGAACGGCTGTGTGCAAGTTACACCATGAAAATACAACTACTTTCATCACTTTCAAATGTTTTGGGAGGAAAGGTGGCCAGCTCTCTTCTTCTGGCACAAATTGTCATTTTCTTCACCAAACCCGAAGTGCTGAGGAGCTTACATAAGTGTGATTCTCTTTTCTGTTTATGCAGGGGAGGAGCTGGATCGTGAAGCGGAGTTATGAAGATTTCAGAGTCCTTGATAAACATCTTCACCTATGTATTTATGACCGGCGCTTCTCCCAGCTCTCAGAGCTACCCCGCTCCGATGCCCTGAAGGACAGTCCAGAGGTACATTATCAGCTCACATTCCACCAGCAAGGGGTTGGAAAATGTTTTCAAGTGTGAACAGAGTAGTTTTAATGAGGCCTGGGTTGGATTTGACAATTGATTAGTAGTATTAAGTTCGGCATGTGTTTTTTACCCTTAATTTCAGTGATCTAAAGGGAAATGCCCTGTGAGTTCATGTGAATTAATATGCTGCTAGGTGTGGAATGGTTGTGGAGATTCCAAGGAAGAAGCTGTCCTGTTAGTTCCTTACATAAGCATTTTATTGTGTCTTTGGAAACTTCTTCAGTGACCTGACTATTACCTGACGTAACGTTCCTAGGAAGTCACGCTGTTCTAGGGCCACAGCACTGCCAGAGCAATACGATTTCGAATGCTAGACCTAGAAACTGAAGATTATTTTTCATAGAATCATAGAACCACAGAACAGTTTGGGTTGGAAGGGACCTTAAATATCATCTAATTCCAACCCCCCTGCCATGGGCAGGGACACCTTCCACTAGACCAGGTTGCTCCAAGCCTCATCCAGCCTGGCCTTGGACACTCCCAGGGATGGGGCATCCACAGCTTCTCTGGGTAACCTGTCCCAGTGCCTCCCCACCCTCTCCAGGAAGAACAACTTCCTGATGTCCAATCTAAACCTCCCCACTTTCAGTTTAAACCCGTTACCCCTTGTCCTGTCACTACAGGCCCTTGTAAAAAGTCCCCCCCCGCTTCCTTGTAGCCCCTTCAGGCACTGGAAGGTGCTATAAGGTCTCCCCGGAGCCTTCTCTTCTCCAGGCTGAACAAGCCCAACTCTCCCAGCCTGTCCCCATGGCAGAGGGGCTCCAGCCCTCGGACCATCTCCGTGGCCTCCTCTGGACTCGCTCCAACCGGTCTGTATCCTTCTGATGTTGGGGGCTCCACAGCTGGATGCAGCACTCCAGGTGGGGTCTCACCAGAGCAGAGTAGAGGGGCAGAATCCCCTCCCTCGCCCTGCTGGCCACACTGCTCCTGATCCAGCCCAGGATACGGGTGGCTTTCTGGGCTGCCAGCGCACACGGCCGGCTCATGTTCAGCTTTTTCTTTTTTTAAGAGCATTTGCATTAGTGCGTTATTTAAATGATCTTAAAAAGCTTAAAGAGCGGGCTTTTCCCTGAAGGGCTAAGAGGTATTTTTCATTTCTCACCTTACTGTTTTCACCTGGGATATGGTGAACTGGAATTCCTTTGGCTTCCTGCCTGTTGATAATTTGGAGATTTATTCATGTCCAACATAATCTTCTGGGAAGTAGCAGGTGCCTCTTGACTCCATCATTTCGGAAGCTGTGGAGGAGAGGCGATGTAGCGCGTGGCCGCAGAGGTTACCGCAGCCAGTAGAGCAGAGCGGAGCGGCCGCTTTTCGGCCTCGGCCTGTCTGCGGGCAGAGCCCGTACCACAGCGATGGACAGTGCCTGTTGCTTCATTTCATAGGTCGCTGCTCTCTGGGACCTGTAGTTGTCCGTTTGCCCCCCCATCAAGCACAAGTACGGACAACCCTTGCGGTGCAGTGACGGGAAGCTAATGCTGCCCGCCCGCGAGATGTGTCGGAATTGAGACCATTCCAAGCGTTCAAAGCAGAACCTATCCAGGGTCTGTAAATGAAAATCCATGTTCTGTCAGTGCTGGCTGGGCAAGGATCGACTGCTTTTGAGCAGCACTCAATGTCTGAAGTCGGTAACTCACTGAAGTCGGCGTGGCTCCTGCTGTTGGATATTGGAAGTTGATTATGCGCTCCCGTTGCTCGTCAGAGAATCTGACTTGGGTTTAGTGCAGGTCATTTCCGAAGAGAATTTCAAGTGTCTTGTCTCTTCAGTCCAGCAGAAGCAGCAATATTCAGGATAATGAACTCCTGGGTTTATTTATTATTTTTAAATTAGATTTTGGGCATTCCTCTCTCATATCTTAATTTGTACAACTTCATACGTACTTTAATACGTATTAACATACTGAAAATCTGCATTATATCTGTAAGCAGAGACGATGTAAAGATGTCAAACAGCTCTACTGCTCCGTGACATGTAATCCTGCAGCTGTGTGGTGTCTCGTAGGGTGGTTTTTGTTTTGAACTGACCACGTTGGAACAGATGTTTGGGGAGAACAATGTTTTAAACAGTCCTACAAACCCTGGGCTACAATACTGCTTTGTAACACCGTTGCAGCGAGGCTTTGGAAAGCCTCACTGGCTTCTGTTTAATGAAAGCAAGTTTGCTGTTACAGAGAGGACGTTGCTAAGCGTGATGCTAAACCCCTCTTCTGCTATTTGAAATATTACTCTTGCGCCAAGGGGTCAGTCTGAGATGCCACATTCTTAAGGGCTCGCGAGCGGGTGGGAATGGCAGGCAAGTAACTTTGACAGTGATGAAAATGTACATATCTTACAAAAATAACTATTGCTTTCACAGGGAGCTGCTGCTTTACACATTTTTTAGTGTAAGCACTGTAGCACTGTATGTAGTTTGCTGTCCTTCAAATGACAGATTTCCTTGCAAAAGGGAAAATCTTCCCACAACACTTGCCTGTGGCAATGGGTAATTTTTGGTCTCTCCAAACAATGGTGTAGTAACAGGAAAACATGTGTCTGTCTTTTTCTCTCCCAGCTTGTCACCCAGATGCTGATGGCTTACCTGTCACGTCTCTCAGCCATCGCAGGCAACAAGATAAACTGTGGGCCTGCTCTCACATGGATGGAGGTATAGTATGAAGCCCGGGTTCTTTGTTTCCTGACCTTAGCAGCAGAACGAGCCACAGATGCGCTCTCTTGCCCTTGCACAGAGGTGTCATCTTTCCAGACTTGGTGTCGTTGAAATGCTACCCTAAATGTTTTACACCCCTGTTACCAGCGTATAGGGGCCACAAAAGGTAGAGAAGAAACGAAGTTGGATCCAGTGTTAAGAACGTAGGAGTGTTCTCCCTCACTTGGATTTTGGCCCCCAGAGACATACCATTCTGCTGATACTCACAAGCAGAAGGGGGTGGCTGTTGCAGAGAGGCAGCAAAGGGGTCAGTACCACCGGGGAAAGTCCAGTTTGTGGCTGAAGTCTCTGCGTTGCAGAAAGCAATCACGTTCTCGCGCTCTTATTTACCAAGGCAGTATTGCAAGCCTGGCAAGTTTCTCCAATTGATGGAGCTGTCCCAGTTACGGTCTTTGTTTGCCCTCTTTTTTAATTTTCTTTGTGATAGCCACAGCAGCGATAAATATCCGCTGCTGTTTGCCGTTGCTGTTGGTTAAACTGCTCAACAAAGCCAGCGTTGTGCTGGCAGTGACACTGTTTGTATATTGTGAAGTGCAGCTGCAGCTTTGCTTTCTCTGTTAATGGTCCTCTACCCTCTTAAACAATAGACCTTATTGGGCAAGGAGTGCAGGAATCATAGAATCGTTTGGGTTGGAAGGGACCTTAAAGACCCCTGCCAGGGGCAGGGACACCTTCCACTAGACCAGGTTGCTCCAAGCCTCATCCAGCCTGGCCTTGAAGACGGCCAGGAAAGAACGGGGCTCTCAAGGTCTGTGTCAGCCGTGCTGCTGCCAATTAGCTGTGGATGTCTTTCCACTGCCTGATGATACTGCTGCGCACCAGGAATAGAAACATCTATTATTAGACTGTTGCAATTCATTTTTAAATGGTTGCGATAAGGATTTGAGTGCGTTTTCCTGCAATTTTCCCCGCTGGTATGCTCCTCACCCTGAAATCCTTTGGGATGAAAAACATCTTGGAAACTTTCTCAGCACGAAGGGAGGAAGGAAGTTGTACAGCAAAATTAAGCTGTAGGATTGTCAGCAACACAGTGGGCCTAGAGATTACAGCAGACCTACTGCACGTGCAGTACAGAATAACCTTTCCTGACAAAATGTTACACGAGCATAAAAATCTAGGCATCTTGAGAGCAGGCTGATGGCTGTAGCAAGGGGTGGGAACCGTGTGTTCTTAGAATAAGAAATAAAAGGGTGGGAGAAAGTAGAAAGTGGCACTAATTTTTGGCTTGACAGCATTTCCTCCTGAACTCAGTGCCGCCTCTTCTTGAGCCTTAATTCCACTTTTTAGAGAATTTTGGTGTTGCCATCTCAAGTACTTCAGGAAAAGCAACACAATTTGGCATTAAAGGGAGGTGTAAACATGCCCCTGGCATGTTACTGTTTGTACACAAAGGTGCACAAATACAGCATTTTTCTCAGTAGTTGGCTGGGGACATAC